AGGGGAGCCAACCTTCTTTTTTTTCACTATCTTCACTTCTTTCATTAGTTTCATTAGTTTCATTAGTTCCAATTCCTGTATTTCCTGCATTTCCTCCATTAGTTCGTTCCATCTTGCTTAACTGAACACAGCCTAGTCTACAATGAAGGTAGCAAGGTTGTAGGAGTAGAGAGTAAACTATTTTTCGGTGTGAAGAAACAACGGGGGGGGGGGGGAATTACAAAGGGTGCTTTCCAACTACGTACACAGGCGACACTGTGTAACACTGTGTCCATTAGTGTAAGAAAGAGCATATCGGTGTGTCTCACCACACTAATGGACACTGTGTTGGAAAACATCCAAAATGGGCAATTCCCATTTCGCACCCCCCACTGCCTTACTGTTGGCCAATTAAAGACATGTGTCAAAAAAACGCGAAATAATAATTATTCGTATAGACAAAAATGAAATAGCTCCAAGAACTCAATTAATTGACAATTCGTTGCTCGCTCGCGCGATGCGATTGCGAGACAATTGCGAATTTCGCAAATCCACAAATTTTGCATCTTCAAAGATGTGCGCAATCCGTTCAACAAGAGATGCGTTAGCGAACGCTCGGTCGCTTGACAACACTCTCCAATTGGCCGACACGTTTCCCACGCTTGCTATTGGCCGATTTCGCGCAACGCCTCTCATAACGTCCCGCCAGCTGTTGAAATTAAGTTTGTTTGAACTCTCAAACGGCAACCGAAGTATATCAGATGCCGTGCCGTAGCGCGTCCGTTTCCCGCTAATCTCTGTCATGCATAGACTGTCAGCAATAAAGTTCTGATCGTTTCGTCGCGACACGCGGGAGGAAGCGAAACGGGCGCGCGCCTTGTTTATCCGGCAAACGCTTTTTTTTTCACCCGGGTGTCCCGACGACAACAAGACTTGATCTCGACAAGTGGCGTGTAGTGCACAATATTCCTTGAAACAGGAAAGATTTATATATACATATTGCGAGCCGCGAATTATGGCCACGATCAGAGTATACAAGGAAGACCAGGAGAATCGGATTCATGATGATCATATGCGTGGCCGTGGCAAAGAGAATCTCGCTACCGGCGTGAGCACTCAGCAACAAACCAAACGAGCTGTCCTCGGTGTTTTACAACTGCCTAATAATAACTGCCAAAAGCCTAATATAAAATCCGTAGGTATAAGCGCCGGCTTTTCTCGGCGCCTTCGTGTTACAAATTTACGACTTCTTGAAATTTGTTGCCGCGTTCGATCTGTGCCAACTCTGAATTGCTTCTCGCAAATGTTTCCAAGGAAAAACTCGACATATATAAGAGAATAATGTAGATAATTGTACAAAATTTTTATATATTGCTTTATTATATAAGTATTATCTCTTTTAGAGGTTATACATATATGTATGTATTTTTTGTTTAACAGAAATAAACATTGATATATATTTTTTTAAATTAGAAAGTTGATGTGTTCTGTTGTATTAACTTTTGTTTTGTTTTATCAGAAGGAAATCAACAAGGATGAGAAACGTAATAGAACAAAGGTGTATAAAACTCAATATGAGTACAATTATGAGAAGAAAGAAGAATCAGTTTTCAAGGTTTACGAAGACAACAAAAAAGATGAATCAAATAATAAATTTCCACCTATCTTCAAACCTCCAGTCTTCACAATTTATGAAGATGTGTGTGTTTCCAAATTGGAAGAAGCTACAAGTGTAGCACTCAGAAACTCGAATGAAAACAAAGAAATCGTTTATGAAACCCAACAAACAACTGAAGAATCTGATAAAGAACAAGCGAAATTAAAAGTGGATAATGTTGACACCACAAATAATTGCAATCTCGCAGCGATTCATGATAGTCTCGATGATATTTGTCAAGGCAAATCACAAGATGATTCTTACTTGAAAGATAATTATAAAGATAGTCCCATGTCTGTGGGTACGTTACTGGAAAAATCTCTCACATATAGTAGTTCTTCCAATGAAGAGTACAGAACCAGAAGAGCATCTTTTAAAGAAATGAGAAATAGTTACTTTGAGATAGACGAATACAGAACTGATATACATAATTATTTACGTGTAGCTGAGGTATGTGTTTTGGTAGTTTTCCTTTTATTTTATTTACTTTAATGCTGCGTGCGTTTATATAATATAAATTTTTTTTCCAGACATTACATAGGCCGAAACCTGGTTACATGAAGAAACAACCTGATATTACATATTCAATGAGATCTATATTGATAGATTGGCTTGTGGAAGTAGCTGAAGAATATCGATTACAAGATGAAACGCTCTACTTGACTGTTTCGTACATAGATCGCTTTCTATCATACATGAGTGTTGTAAGATCGAAATTGCAACTCGTTGGGACTGCCGCTATGTTTATTGCGGCGTAAGTTTATATTTTGATGATATGTGCTATTTTCTGTTTGTTTTTTTTTGTTTTTTTTTTTTTAAACCTTAAAATAAAACCAAATTTCGATTGTTGAGACAAAATTAAGATACTTCTTGATTTTTTATACATTATTTCAACACTATTAAAATGTTATTACTATTATAACATGCACTTTTAATAGAAAATATGAGGAGATTTATCCACCTGATGTAGGAGAATTTGTATATATCACAGATGATACATATACAAAGATGCAGGTGATCAAAATGGAAAATTTAATACTAAGAGTTTTATCGTTTGATCTAACTGTACCGACGCATTTCACATTTATTCAGGATTATTGTGTTAACAATAATTTTTCGGACAGAATCAAATTTTTGGCAATGGTGAGTTGCCAGATACAGCGTAATCTTCAGATTCCGATTCTTAACATTCGTACAATATTTCATTGATATTTTCTGTTTTCAGTATCTTTGTGAGTTATCAATGCTCGAGGGAGATCCGTATCTGCAATTTGTGCCCAGTCATTTGGCTGCATCCGCATTAGCTCTTGCACGACATACATTGCAGGAAGAGATCTGGCCCCACGAATTGGAGCTGTCGACAGGTTATAGTCTAAAGACTCTCAAGGAATGTATCGTATATTTGAACAAAACCTTCTACAAAGCTCCTACTAATGAGCAACAAGCGATACGAGAAAAATATAAAAAGAGCAAGTAAGCAGAAACAATATTATTGTTGATATTTATTGTATATTTCTTTGTTTTGTTGCGCGAATTAATATATAAATTTCACAATATTTAAAACATTTGATAGATATATCGCTTCTCTTTCTTTCAGATACGGTCATGTGTCTTTGCTATTGCCTCGTAGCACTGAAGCAGTATCGGATGAAGACGAAGAGGAGGAGAACGCTTAGTAATGAATATTGTCAGACGGGCACAGAATCAAGAGGAAATTTCGGTTTCTGTGTAGAGAAATTGTAATAAATAACGAACCTCCCGCGAGAATATCTCCTACATGCATCGGAAGTGAAGGAGGGGATCAGGGCAAGACTGACCTACTATTCCTACAAAGTAAAAGGAAAGTGTATGGTTTATTTCTCTGTTGTTGGAGCTAGTCTCGATCTGGCGGTACGTTTTGCGAGAGTAGAAAGAACGTACCTGGCTCTCCTGCTTTCGCCGCATGTCAATATTCGTCATACGTATATCGGTCGCTCTTAAATTGTGGTATGTGACCACATAAAAATTTTAAAACTGTTTCGGAGCTTAGATATAGTCATTTGCGCTAACAAACGAGATGCCACACAAAAAAATCACCATTATCTTAGATATTGTATTTTTGTATAAGCATGTTTTAGAGGATTTTGTTAAGACAAACAAATGTCGTTTCTGCGATACGAAAATTCTGCCGTAAAGTAAAATTGTCTCTAAAATAAACAAAGTAATTTTGTATTTATTATCGTTTTATGGTTAAATACACGTCAATTGCTAATAAAAATTACATGTCGATTAATGATATATTTAAAAAAAACGGCAAACTATTCGAGATGCTTATTTCCGTGAAATTGAATGCATACATTTTGATCGACTTTTCAGTCATTGTACAGTTATTTATTTACAACACATTCATAGGTATCGTAAATTAAATTTGTAATTTGTCTTGTGTTAGGAAAAGTAAGAAATCTCGTATATACATATATGTGTGTGGTGTGTATATATATATATATACATATATATATACTATGTATATATATATATATATATACACATATATATAAACACACTACAGATACACTCTTATACTTTTATATTCTTATATACAGGAACATTTTAAGTGATGTTGTGCAGTGTTAAAGTCTTTCTTGGTGCAAATCAGTATAATTTTAAATCAATTTTATTATCTCTCTCTACATATTTTTTATATTTATTTATTTATAAATGTATAATGCCGAAAAATGTAAAATGCTTATTTACTCTGATTAATTCATCTATTTCGGTATTTTGTTTCATAACATGTTTTCATTTATATTAGCAATCAATGATGCACAGTATAATCGCACTTTATTGTAACGCAAAAAATATCTACATCAAATTTAATATATGTGTGTGTGTGGTGTGCGTGCGGGCGTGTGTGTGTGTGCGCGTGTGTGTACGAGAATGTTTATAAAATTTTAATAGAGATATAAAAACTTAGTGAAATCATGATAAACATATCTCAGTTAAATGATTGCATAATTTCAGTTTTGCATTTAAGTGTAAATTTACGTGTCTGTTTTTCAAGACAATTGAGTAAAAACAAAAATACAAACTTCTTAGTTATTATACACTGCTACAGAAGTGTACATAAAGAAAAGACTCACAACTTCTGCACACACATTTAAAAATTAAATTAACGTAAAAGAAAATTGTTGTTAAATTTCAAAAAGTACGTTTCATAAAAAAATGAAGTTTTGAAGAGTAGCTCTTTTTGTACCTTTTTTACTGTTGCTTGACATTTTTCTCTAGTGATGGTCAAATATATTGAAGATGTGTAATGTGTGCGAATTTTTATATTTTCATATATTTTCTATCTATCTCTGACCTAGTGCGTTCTTAAACCATGTTAAAACACTATAAAAATAAATATTCGGACCGTTTTCGACGTTGCACAAGATCGTTGTATTAAATATTTTCGTAACGAAATTATAGATGAAAAAGAGCATGACTAATATATAAATATATATGTGATTGTAAATAATACCAAAAATTCGTGTTTACAAAACGTTTTGAAAGGATTTTTACGTAGGAATAAAGAAGGAAGAATAAAAACGTGGACACACGATGATGATTTTTTCTCCGCCTTTTTTGTATTAAAAATGCTTCAACAGTACCCAAAAATTTGTTCATAGAGCAACGTGCGTTTCTCGAAAAAGAATTCAAACAACCATCTCTCTTCTTTTGTCGGCGCATATAAAACGTAACAAGTAGTATAAAATGAAGCAATTAAAAATTGACAATTATTAATTAGTGTTCAAGAGAACATACATATACATATATATATACATACATATACATACATACATACATACATATATATATATATACATATACACACTTATGACACTAGATTTTTATAGCACAGGGATGTAATGAGGCGTACAATTCTATATTCCCATCGTCAACGATGGAGTTTTTAAAAGGAAGGGATACGCATAATTTTTTTTTTACACATGTTTGTGTCACACTGTGCGGTATGTTGAAGATTTTCTAGGCTTGATCTGGAATAGGAGATATGATATGATTAGATGGCTGAAGAATGGGGATTATACATTTGGAGCTGCAAGGTGCAGGATTATCTAGGCAGTTTATCAATCCAGGTGTCGTTAGTGTGTTGCTTTTACACATAGTAACGCACGAACGATTTATCTTTTTTTTTTTTCCATTACATCTCAATTAGTATTCTACTGTTGTTTACACTCATTAGGATCATCGCCTGGTTTCCCACCTGAGGGTGCGTTGGGAGGAGAAGAGTTCTCCACTTCCTCCTCTTCTTCACATAGTTCGTCTTCGTCGTCACCATCGTCCTCATCCTCGTAATCCTCATCTTCATCATCCAGTACCTCTCCTGAAATCGCATCTTGTGAAAAAACTACTCAAAGGACGTATACGCATACTTGTAAATTTACCTGTATAGTACAATACAGCTCTAGGAACTATGCGTTCTCTAATATAATGACCTATCTCAAAATCACTGGTCAATAATGATTGAGTCTCTTCGTCTATGTCGTTTTCCGAGCCTTCTGGTACTGAAACAAACATTTTATCAAATTAATACAGCCAAGTAATAAATAAATTGTACAAACAAGAAATAGATCATATATGAAAGCTTAATTACCGATAGGTGGACTGAAGAAATGAAAGAAAGATTCATTTTGAACAGTTTTTGTCACAGTTCGCATAGATCCTCGAGATTTGTGTTTTTGATTCTTCTTGATAGTTTTTACTGTCACGTTTTTGCCTTTCTTCCAATCAATCACACAACCCTAATAAAGAAAAACAAATTTTCACGTTTAATATCGTAATTACTTTAAAATTATTTAAATTAAACAGAAAACTTCACTTTGCATTTATATATTTCAGGCCCTTCAAAACTGAACGGATCATTCTTCTCCGGAGCACACTTCATAATGTATTCCTTAGTGAGTACTGAATTAGAAAAATATTCATTCGGAGTGAAATAAAACTCGAGAATAAAGCCCTGAAAATATATGTGAATTTTATTTAAAACAATTTATAACTTTTGAATTTGTTAATCATTTATCTTTTTATAACTCACCATTGGATTTTTGTCTAGGAATTTTACTCTGACATCACTTAAGTGTTTTAGGATCGGCTCATCGTGCTCTTGAACCATATCAGCTAATGTAGATACATTCTTAAATATTGTTAACCAAAAATCTGGAATTCCTTTAATGTCTTCTTCGTTTTCTTTTCTAAAATCATATGATATATATAGATTAATTTACAATTGCACATCACAATTGTACTCACATATTTAAATTTCCCATGCGCACACACAAGAAGTTATCTATTATGAAAAACATACTCATCCTTCTTTTCTGTAGTACCCTCGATCTTTGCTTTGTCCTTCATGTAATTACTTAATGTTTCATCAGTTTCTTCATCATCGCTCTCCCAAACACATTCCTCATCAGTTGGCTCATGAGCACCTGATACTATATCGTTTCGCTGCTGGTATACAGGTGCACACAATTTATAGTACGCGCATTCTAAGGCATGGACTTCCTCGTAAAATTTGGCCTCAATATTTGTAGTCACAAGTTGTAATTGTTTCAGTGCTTTAATTCTGCGTTTTACAGAAGGAGGATGAGACTGCATTGGCTAGAAATAAAAAAATCTTTCGGTACAATCTAATATACATAATTAAATCAAATAATAATTTTTTATAAACGCGCGTTCTCTTTTCAACTTTAACAATACATTCGTAATTAACATATTACAAATTATAAGCTACTTTAGAACAACAAGATAAATTGATATTTATTAATAAATTGGTGCAATTGAAATATTTTACTTCGCCAGTAAATATATAAATATTTGGTTAAAACACACATGTGTTATTTGGAATCTAAAAGCAAAACTAGCATTATGAGGAAACATGCAAGTAAAATCAGAATTTTTGCAATTACCTTTGTATATGCACATTTGATGAAATTGTGGTCATTTATATAAAAAATCAAATATTTCAAAAAATACAAAATTTATCAAATTTACAGGACAGAAAATATAGTAGTGCAATACCTGTAATCCTGCTATAGGAAAACCACTTCGTAAGCCAGCAGATAACATTTCAGTATTAATTTTACTACGTAAAATTTTGCGGTGGTCGCGATCATCTTCTTCTTCAACGGATTCTGTACCGCTAGTATTGACAGCGCGTTCCGGATCAGTTGTCATTTTTACTATAAATTTATAAATGTTTCATCCCTATCAATTTTTATTTTTACCGTCAACTGCCAAACATTTGTTCCGTCTTTATATGAGCTTTTAATACTTAAAAATCACAATGTTATAAACTTTCTTCAATCATGATTTTGTACAAGTTTGTATAGACTGATTACTTTATACTTCTATATATATATAACACATATAATGAAATTTCTAGTTTGAGTTATTAGCACAGTGCTAAAATTTGTATCCAGGTTTATTATCAATGATTTAAAGGTATCTAATTAAAAAGATATTTTATGTTCTAGTCTTGCAACGTAATTGAAAAATCAAAGAAATAGGAATCAGAGACATAGAACCATAAAAATAGCTTTAGATGTAAGACATACAAATTTTATGTGAAATGTAAACACAAATTTGTGTAGTAAGGCTTAATATTTTAATAACTCAAAATAACTACAAAATAGATTTTTTCAGTTAATAAATTGGTGTAAAATTTCCAAAAATAATTAAAAAAAAAGTGCAACACAAAGATTTTAAAAAGTGCTTGAGATATGCGATATATATATATGTGTGTGTGTGTGTGAATTAAATTTTATACTTGAAAAATAAAAAAAATTGCAAAGCTTTGATGCGAAGCTGTGCAAAAGAATAAAATCAGCTATGTAAGATTCGAGATGTGCAATGAGAAAAAAATAAAAAGGATTTTTTCAAATCGCCGTTTTTCGGAGTACATTGTTTTACATGTGCGCTAGAAATTTCACTCAAACATCTTATAATTTCGTCAATTTTTTTTTTTTTTTTTACCTGTTTGCGCGAAATCAAAGTTACAAGACATTTATTGATTCTATTCGATACTTTTTTTGAACAAAAAATAAAAATGCGTCCAAAGACTGACGTTTTAAGATCAGTCGGTTTTTTGAAAGGTTATTTCAAATCCGCGAGAACGGAGATGCGAGATTAGAAACGCATGATAAACCGAACACGCGGTGAAGCTTCGGCGAAAAAAAAAAAAAAATGAGAAAATGATACGAGACTACAAACGTAGCGGGAATCTGTACGCAAAACCGATTCGGAAGAGATTTGAATCTGAAATAAAAATAAACGTGCACACGAGGGATGGAAACGGGGTTGGGCCGATAAAAGAACGCTTTGCCCAAGGGTAAGAGACAAGAAAAAAAAAAACGAAACAAGAGGACAAAGTGCACACGCAGGGAAACGTACGCCGTGCGTTTAGCAAAACGCACGAACAAAACGAGGAAACAGAGAGATTTTTTTCCGATCTCTCACAAGCGAAGACGATGATATCTCGATTAACGTACCTTTGAATCACGGAATTGTCCGCAGAAGAAGAGAATCAAACCTGATCGAATCAGGAAACGAACAACGAACCGGTCGCTGCTTCTTCAACGGTCGATCGCGGGTTTAACGCGCGAACGAAGAGAGGTAATTCGGAACGACAGTTGTGGGGTATAAATATAAAGCCCGCGTATCAAACAGAGTAAATTCCACTTGGCGCTCGTGGCGATCGCGATCATAGGGTCTGGTTTACGATGTCGCATTGGTCGATTCGCCGGGCACGACCGATGCGATTGGACAATGTAAATGCAGCCTAAGCTCGTGATCGTCGCGAGCACTAAGTGGAACTTACTCATAATTGGCTGCTTTCCTTTTAGGAGAGCAGCAGTCGTCACAAAAGTCATTCTGTCTTCGTCCAGTATTCGGTATTTCAGTGAAAGAAACAAAGACAGAATGACTCTTGTGTCGACTCGTGTCGACTGTGTCTCCTAAAAGGAAAGCAGCCATTGAATTATATATATAAGATTGGATTCGAATTTAATCAATTAAAATAAAGAAAACTACTCAAGATGAGCAAACTTCGTTATGATTGGACAAATTTAAAATCCCAATCTCAGTCCTAATACGCGGTCTGATACGAGCTTAATGGCTAGTCTACAATGGGAGTAGGCAGTATATAAGGGTAAGAAGTAAGATTCTTGGAGTTCTTTTATTTTTGTCTATACAAGTAATTATTTCGCGTTTTTTAACACACGTCTTTCATTGGCCAACAGTAAGGCAGTAGGCAGTGCGAAATGGGAATTGTCCATTTCGTTATTCCCGTCGTTTCTTCACCGAAAAAAAAAAAATAGTTTACTCTCTAGTCCTACAGCCTTACTACCTTCGTTGTAGACTATGCCATTTCGCATAATAGTTGGAATAGCCAATCAGAAACTGGCCGTTGATCGGCCAATCGACCAACGTAATTAGTCAATTCCGCTAAGATCTGTCACCTTGCGACCCTTATCTGCGACTCGCTGCGACTTATGTAGGCCTTAATGTAGAACAAGCTTTAGCTCGTCAAAAATAACGACATTTTTGCGTTTCCCGTGGTTATGTTCGCGACGGGATTTAACTGACGATTGCAATAAAAATCGTTTTCTCTCCTGCCGGTCGTCACTGATAGCGAATTTTGTCGTTGCTTTTCGTCGCGAATAAAATCCTTGGTGTTTCTCGTTTCTCCCCTCTCTCCTCCCGCCATAGTGTTGTTTTCGTGTGTTCTCGGAACGAGCATCCAGAGAACTTTAGAAATATGTGTCTGTGTCCGATTTGATAACACTCAACATCGCGAAATATGTCAACAACGGATCCGAACGAGATTGTTCCTCTACAATACACAGAGTGTATCCACGATGGCTATCACGTCGATGATCGCATTGATCTATCGGACTTCCAGCTCAACGACAACGATGATTGGTGTGTGTCACATTTTTCTTGTCATTGCCTGTTGATCATATCTGGCATTTTCTTGGAACATAACTATATAAATTGCAGATCGCACAAGACTCTCTTGGAATTTAACTATATGAGAGAAAATGGATGTATATACAAAGTAAATTTTTTTTTATGTGTAAATTAATTCAAGTTACAATGTGTGTGTGGAGGGGGAGGGGGGTATAATTTACACATTAAGAAAATAGATACAATTTTGCATGTACATATTCAGTGTTCGACTCTTACTGGCCTTATTAAGTTTCTCATGTAGTTAAATTCTATATTTTATTTTCTTAGCAACACTTTAGGAAAAAAAACATACGTCATGTATTGTGTTAGAAAAAATATATTACTTTAAAAGGAGACATTTTATATTTGTGGATGTATAATCTTAGTGGACTGTAGAAATTTCCTTTACTTTTCTTATACTCAGTATACATCACTATTTTCCTTGAGAGAAATTTGTATTTGTCTTCAAAAAGTATCTGTCAATTTTTCTTTTTCTAGTTGTATAACATATAGATTTAGGACAACTTTGAAATAGATACTAAACAATCTCTAACTGTTTTTTATCAGGTTGTACATACCTTCACAATGCTCAACTGAATCTGTAGTTCATGATTTATACGCCTGGCTGAAGACAGAACCAGAAATAAATGTTACAAGTACGAAACTTTATTAAATTTCATTACACTAATTGCTAAATCTTTTCATTTTAATATATATGCTTGTAATCTTCAGATATGTAAAGATATAAAGTCCAAATTGAGAGATCACCTATAAACAGATGCACAGAAAATTTTTTATTTTTTTTTATTTTTATGTATTCAGTAATTATTTCTCATGAATAACTGTTGTTATCAAATTATTTCTTGTGTAACTATATACTATAGTTTGGCTACTATAGTTTTTTGTTGGCTTTATTCTTTGTTAATTTATTTTATTAGTTGGATAGTTTTTATATGTATTGACTCAAGAAGATTTGTGAATAATGAGTTGAAAACATTACTGTCTTTTTTTGTATTAATAAAGGAATTTGATTACTAATTTAAGTTTAGTTCACAATCTGGCTTTTATGTCTTTTATAGCTTTCTTATTAAAAAGCTTTAACTTTTATTATTAAATTTAATATATTTATTTAGATACTAGAAAATGCATTGACACAAGAACATTTACAAGACCTAAGAAACGGTCAGCTCGAATGAGTTTTGAATCAATTTTTGAAGGATTAGCTTCTTTGAAAAATACATGGAAGCTTGGAAATACAGATATGTGCACAGAACATGTAAGTTATTTATCAATGTGATATTTTATGGAAATTTTTTAATTGCAATTTATATTTATATATACATGTGTTTGAGTCTATAATATTTTATTTATTTTTATATATTATTTAGGAGGCAAAATGTTTGCCTGAGATGATTAAAGATTCGGATTTTGTGCCATCGATGCTAAAGCCATCTGCAAAATTACCTATCAATATTTTATCTGAAGAAAATTCAGTAATATCAGGACAAGAAAGTATGGAAGCTTTCTTGAATATGTCACAGTCCAATGGAATTGATTCGTTTATAAATTTGCGTGAACCAGAATTTAGTGATATATTGTGGAACACATCTCAGCCCTCTCTTTTCTATGCGTCTCTTATTTCGTCTACAAACGAAACATACCATATTAACGACACAATGCCAGTAACGGATAAAACTACTGCTCAAATAAGTAGCGATGTAAGGAAGGAATCAAATTCCAGTAGCGATAACGAAACAATCTTGATACAAGACAGCAACGACACAATCACGCTCAATAAAACCAATTGCACAAATTCTTCAAACGATCAATCAGATAAAGGTTTGAACGAAACGTACAATGCTGAGATGCTTGATGAAGTGTTATCAGCGCGGTCGAGTCTGGAAAAAGAGAAAATAGCTGCTTTGTCTTCCACTTTTGTAACCGAATCTAACGCCGGCCTTACTTTCGTGCACCAACCAGGTGAAGCGGGTGATGACGTTAAGCATCTAGACATTACATATCTGTCTTCAGCAAAAGATGCTGAGAAATTGAATTTGCCTATATCGATAAAAAGTGACATATACAAAGCTGATTCTGTTGAAAATACGAATAAAGCGGGTCTGAATGTAACATGTAATATTTTGACAGATAATAAAAGAGAATCTACGTCGCTTCTTAAAACACATACGGAGAACGTCTTAGATATGACTTTTGAGGTGCCTGAATGTAATCAATCTACACCGACAAACCCAAATATGCTGAACGCGAGTCTCGCGGCAAAATATCCGGACGAACCGCGTCAAAATTTATACTTTACGATGAAAGCCCCCACGTCGTTGAGACGAGAGTTATTAGCGGAAATTCAACGAAGCTGTGAGCGCAATCAGGACTTAACGTATAATCACATCGCTAACGATCATCCGGACTCAAGGGACACCAAGGAAAATATTCGCGTAGCTAATACCAAAAATGAAACTGACGTTGCGTTAACGAATAGATATCATACGTATAAAAAGTCGGCGTGGACAGCGATGACAGATCAATACAGAGGTCAGAAAGATACGGCCGTGACTGCTCAAAAAGATTTACCAATAGATCAACGTAAATTTTATACGTTTACAAAAAAGAGCAACAATTCTGTTGAAAAAACTGATAATACCGCCGTAAGTAACGCCGTTGAAACGCATTCGGCTAACATAGACGGTATATTCTGCAAACCTCTTCCGCCAAAGAAGCATCAACAGAAGAAAATGCTGTCGAGGTTGCCGCAGTTTTTGCAGAAGTCGAATCCGAATCTTGTGTCGAGCTCGTTGAAGACCGTTGGGAGTATGCCCGAGCACAGCTATGCGAATATACCTACCATAGGTTACATGAAAGGTTTACAACCTAACGTCGTGCAGAACGTCGCGAAGAACATGCAGTTGTCGAGTAAGTTGCATCCATACGGTAAACTGAAGAGCGGTTCCGAGCAACGGCTTCTCGAGGTCAACGTGAATACAAATCACCAATTTCCAATAAAGAACATAACCGCCGGCTCGACGGAAAGCATTGAGAGCATCCAGAGTGCTCAGAGCGCTCCCGATCTCGACGACAGACACAGTACGTGTTCCGACAGCAGCAATCATGATTTGTGCGTTAAAGGAACGATGAATATCGAGGAACTGCATAATTTAGTTCGAATGCAGGAAGAGAGTAAGCGAATTATTCTTTTTATGGTGTAAAATCAATATTAGAGAGAGAGAGAGAGAGAGAGAAAGAGAAAACATTCGGTTAAAAACAAACCTAATTCTGTTAATTTTCGCAAACTATATGAATCTTACTAACATTTTTTGTTTTGTTTTTAAAGACTTCTCTTGTATTGTTTTCAAATACTGAGCATACTTTTTTTTAGTTATAAATTTGCTTTTTTTTTTTTTTAGGCTTGAAGCAAGATTTGCCGCCAAAATCGGATAGACGGGTTCTGGAGAATACTTGGGTAGAAGAAAAAGCGAATTTGCTCTCGCCGATTCTGAAAAACGGTGTAAAACACAGTGAAACTGACAGATATACTTTAGATACTGATTTAAGTATGAAGTGCAGTACTCCGATAAGTCCCACAGAGTCTCATCATACATTAAATAATGGTAATTAGAGATTTGTTTTTAATAAAATTAAGTGAAATTGTTATTTTAATAATTAAAATGTTGTATGTGTATACTAGAAGAAAATCCTGATGGAAACGTTACAAGGACCAAAGATAAAGTTATGGTAGCTAAAAGAACAGAGGTATGCACATTATCAGCAAGTTTTATTGATAGTACTCAACTTATTAATTTTACTTATGTTTATAAAATTCCTTTATTTTTTTTAATATTTAATAATAATAATATCATTGCACATAATTATGTATAACTCTCACATCTAATTTAATACACTTGAAACATCTAATTTGAGGTCAGAAATCTTAGTTTTGGCAGTGAGTTTATTACATAACAGTACGTACATATCGATTTGCAGGATCCAAATCAAGCAATGCCTAAAAATGAGACCAAGACTCGGTTGCGACAGCCTACTAGTTGGCATACTGGAAATAAACCAGCTACTGTGATAAGCGGAATTCCTAGGCCCGCGTCGCGTATACCTGCTTTGAGATTCGCCCGGCCGAATGCAAAACCTCAAGCTGATCTAAGAAAAGGATGCTCGTGAAAATTCACATGGTAAAATTATATGAAAAAGACTTCTGTTTTTTAGTTGACGTCAATATTAGCACACATACATATATACATATATATATGGTGATTAAAGAGTAATAGGTATATTTTTAGTTCTGTTGAAAAAACCAATAAAATCGTTTAAAAATTCAGTATTAGTGAGCTTCCAAGTCAGAACAATGTCTATAAAATTATTGCTATTATTAATGTTTGCGTGTTGTATTGTATTTCGTGTGATGTTATATTTACTTTCTATTTAAAATGTATATGTGCATTCTCTTATAATTTAAACCGTTATTGCGGTCTGGTAATACGCATGGAAATACTTTGCCTTACAATATTATACAAAAATTAGAAAAATATTCGAAAGTTCGTTTATTAATTGTAATGTTGGAAAACAATTTAGATTTAATTTTGAGTCAAAATACTATCTAAGATAAGAAATAGTATTACACTTAAAGAAACTACGTAAGACCATAAGAGCCATCGCATATATTTTTGACTTTAGAACTAAACGTACGCGTTTTTCCGCGTATTAACAAATAGTCATATATTGCGCACTACAACATATGCGTTAGATCTTAATGATCTTCTAGTTCCTTTAATTCTTATTCAGAGTCTCTCTCTTTTTACATTATCTATCAATTTTATAGTTGCCAAAACTAAGAGTTCAAAAATGTAGAGCCGTAGACAAACCAGTTGAGATAATACTTTTTTGATAAATTTTGAAACTTTGCACTTTGCAAGTTTGATTTATGTTAAAACATCGAAAAGCATCTGTCTCAGCTTTTTTGTTTACAACTGTAAATTATATATAAATATATATACATATATTGCTGTTGTTTGTAATTTCTATAGAATATCAAAAGTTGAAGTTTTTTGCTCGGGATTTTACATGAAAGGCCGAAGAGACAAACTTACTTCTTACATAAATAATAGTTATTACAAACAACAACGATATAAAAAAATTATGTATATAAAACTAATATATAATATTTAAAAAATTGTTTACATATCTTCTTTGTTATTAAAAGTTTTTACTATATAAATATATACATATAAGAAAAATTGGCTGCGAATAATTAGAAACATATATATAAAAAAAAAACAAAAGACTGCAAATATATAATTAACGCTTTTACAGATAAAATTCAATATCTACTTCATCTCTCCGTCCTATTTGATAGTGAACATCTTCTTTTCGATAAATTCGCTTGGTATGTTTTGCCAAATTGCCTGAGAAACACATATCACTGCGTTGAGAAAAGAAATTATAGAAGAGAGAGAAAAAGAGAGATTGACAATGATGTAAGAAGATTGTTCATTTATGCATTCATATCATCCGTTTAGCGCCTGAACAAAATCTTTTGCTCTTTGAACACAAAAGTTCGATATTCGAGCAAAAGTTCGATATTCAAGAAAAGAATAATAGAAACTATAACAATATTTTGTAATTTTACATGTTGTCGTAGTTACATGTAAAATATATATATGTAGATATACATTTTATAAAAAATTTTCACTTTTATATTATTGAGAATTATAAAAAATGAGAATACAAGGATATAATTTTAATTTAGTTAGTGCAAATTTTATATTCAGCACAATGAAATTGATACGCTATTCTTCGAAGAAAATTTTAATTTAATTTGAATATTCTAAGGAACGTGCGATACGTCGTCGAATAAAATCGATTACCAGATATAATCTATTTGGCGTAACAAATAAACTATATAAGCAATAATGTGTTTTATATTACGAGAAATATACTTTGATATTTATTTTCTAGACAGCTTAACACACAATCTCAAATTAACTTTAATCGCAAATCAGAATTGATGTCGTGTGTATGTCCATTAATTATTAATTGTAAATAATAAAACAAAAACTAATCGCATCGTAATCTTTATTTGGTATAATAAGTGCTAGGTCCTTAAGTGCCTTTATTACATTACTTCAGATACAAAAAGTTTTATACATAAAAAACAAGCAAAATGCGCTCATTAATCTATCAAATTTTACTGCCCAAGTAATGCTGGAAATATTTAAGATGTTACTTTCTTTTATAAAAATCTTGTAATAAATATATACGTTATTATATGTAATTCCGCATGTTTTTTCTATTATTCCATTAGAACCAAGTGTGATGCATTCGTTTTTTAAGATGAATAAAGTTTTGAATTCTTTTATATCTTTACACAATTTTGTACGCAAACATCTTTAAATATTTTTAAGTAAATAAACAATAATCGTGACAACGCGATGTCAAGAGTAGTTTTATTATTTCATTCGGAATGTAAACTAATGCATCGTCCTAGAAAAATTTTTCATTTTTTGTACGATTTTGTAAGAACGATATATATATAACTTATTAATATATTATAAAAGTATTTATGGTACAATAAAAAAGACTAGAAATATACTCCTTGATTACAGATATAAATAAACATACAACCGTTAGATATACTGAATATGCAAAATGCCTTTTTGTTTACCAATAAATATTCGATGATATTACATATATATAAATAAAAATATAAAAATAATATATATTGTTCCAATTTTAAAAAAGATAATGAATTATACACAATAAATATAAAATAAATATAAAATTTATCAGTGGTAAGAAATATGCAATTAAATGCATGTGAAGTAAAAATACGTTTAACATATTAAGTACGCACATAATTATGATTAAACGCGCGAAATATACAAATTATAATGTAAACAACAAATAGAATAGTAAATATAAAATTACGACAATTCGCTATATACTACAGGTACCAGTTTAAAATATTATTGCAAGTAAATACATTCTACATTACTCGCCAAATATTGCTACATTGAAAAGTTATTCCGTGGTAATCGATACTGTAATGACGATTAAAACAATGTGTTGCATCTATTGTTTGATTCATCTAATATATATATATATATTTACATAACGATAATATGCTTACAAAAAACTGTGTGAAAAATTCAGTAAAAATACTTTGGTCGGTTTTTTCATAAATCTGTACTTAAGTAAAGTGCCTATAATATAAAAATACGTAAATAGTGCACATAATTAATGCGCAGAAACCATTTAACTAACATAAGATGCATCTTAGAAATCGCTTTTAAGATGACATCCTGCGTCCGTGTACATAACTTAGAGTCTATAAACCCACTAAAATCTTTAATTAATTCTTTATGCATACTGCAAAATAAAATAAATAAGAACATGTAATATTCAGATAATTATTAATAATACACACAATAATTTTATATAATTTTTTGCAAAACAATATCTTTATATTAATAATAAAAAGTTACTTAAAAAAGTTTCTTACTTAATATTGGATTTTCACTAGAAATATTCAGTGAAAAATGTGCTTAATATATTAATATTTTTCAGCTTTTATGTGTTTCACCTTTCTCAGAATTTTCTGACAAAAATTGCACATCTCTTCACATGATACTAAAAAATAATAAATCGATCATCTAGATTTTTATATATGTGCTTCTCTTTTAACTCTACGAATGTAGAAAATATTAATAAAATATTGTTAATTATTAATTACATTTTTTAAAGAAACATACATATAATCATAACAAAAAATATCGTGTAAACAGAGGTGCAAAATTGAATGTTCATTACTCTCTCAATATATTTCTTTGCATATATTTTTATTACATAAAACATGTGAATAGATTTTATTATATATTTGTGTTAATTTTTAAATATTAATAACACAAAAGAGAGAACAGTTTCTTTTATAAGAATTATATTTGTTTTTTGTGCAATTTTATATATTATCGATAACAGAAAGACTAACTGTGATGCTTTAGAACATACAAAAGGCACTGTAATAAAATTATACTTATTTGTAGCCTAAAACGTTCATAAACACCATGTATAAATTATTTTATTCTGTGTATAAATTATTATTCATACAAGAACGACACATATTTAAGTGTACATATACATATAATGTGTCAACTTTTTAAATTGCTGATCAAAAAATTCATATTATCAATATATTAAATTATTATTTTACATCGATAATTGGTTTCAAATAATTTTCAGAATATATAGTATTTCAAGTACAACACCAGCATTATATCGAAAATCTCATCAAAAGGCTCAACGTTTTTATATTGATAGACATACAACTAATTTTTTAAGAATTTTTTTTTTCGCACTTTTCCGTAATATAACAATAAAGTAGAATAATAATTTAAATATCATATATCTTATATATTAATTACGAAAAACCTAATAAAAATTGTGAATAATAAAAGTAAATCTGAAATATTCTCGTAAATATACTCGTGTTATGATGAAATACAGAAAAGTGAACACATACGTATATATCAATTCTCATTTCACGTTTCCCCCCCACACGCGATCGAGTTCTTGTAACAGACAGTTTGATACCGTCTTTTACCGTATCAGAGTGATATCAGGTAAATCTCTACTGATTGTCCATTAGAAAGCTAACTACTTAAAGTGATATAATTTGTAGGCAAGTATATATTATTAAGTGATTGTTCACGATCGATCGGCCTTGTTGTTATTCACAGGCTAACTTACTGTCGAAACTACTCAAAGCGATGGCAAATGCTTGGACTGTACAAAGAGGAAATCTGTAATCCATTGTAAAAACATCTTCGGCGACGCGACCAAACTGCATTACAACATAGTCCACTGAAATCGGGTTTACATTTCATCAGTATACAGTTAAATTTTATAAATTTGTAAATATGTAAATCGATAGAGACTGAGTGAATTTTTCAGCATATAAAAAACAGAAATATGTAAATATTCCCATCACTGTCTTACCATCACTATCATGAACAACTTGAAAATTTTTTACAGATGCCTGAGTTACTCGTCCATGAAAGTTCAGCACATACGATTGTGTGTCATCATTCCATACAGGAGTCTTATTGTGTAATTCTATTAAATTATCCATGTGTTTCAGTTTCCAGCGTTCTGAAGAAGCATAAAAGAGAAAATTTCATATTTAATGACCAATTCGTGCTATATAAATGTTTAATATAAAAAACGTGATACCATTATGTTGCAGAATATTTTAACATGTTGAGACAAACTTTTAAATTTCTATTCTACTCACTTTGAATCTCATTATCGATATTGACTTAATATTCAAATTTATATTCATTGTTACGCTTACCAAGCAATGTCTCTGACTCATCTCGCGGGCAAATTTCCACCCTCTTTTGATCGGAAGTCATTCCCGGTATAATGACCGTCATTTTACGTGGTCCTTTAAAACCTAAAACGTTAGTGTCATACACCACCGCGGCTAATTCTTGTCGCGGATTCGAACGCTCGTCGCGTTTGTCATCCTTCATCAATGAATATCCGTTGTCGTAAACCGTGAACTGCGACCCCAGAAAATTCGATCGAAGCTTACCGACGTAAGATTCTCCTCCTCTCGAAAGATCCGTAGGATCAGTTGAAATCAGGTAATTGCTTGTCGCGCTTTTTTTCCTCTTTCGGCCAGCCAATAGAAAAATCTACACAAATATAAACAAATAAAAACTTGACTATCAAAATAAATAAATGTAAACGTACCTTCTTTCCGTAATCACGTTCTAAATGCAAGAAATAAGTTGGGTAAAGGCCACGGTCCATACCCTTTCGATCGCGAGTTATTCTGCATTTATAATGCATTTTCTTGTTTGCAGGTTGTAATACGAACTGTTCGATATTTCCCTCCACATTGCCTTCTAATTCTGGACTCTGTAAAATATGTGAACATATTTGTTACAATTAATTTAATATATATTTATATACATAAATTTTTTGTTTCTCTACTAATGTAAACACTATAAAATGTAGGACATTTACAAAAAAAAGAGTATGTATTTTCAAAAGACATAATATCACTTACGGAAGTATTATCTCTATTAATAAGAGTAGTAGGTCCTTCTGATGGTCCTACTCGAAGTGGTGAGGAACCAAACGGAACAAATTCCGAGGGTAAATGATCTACAGGTGATGACTCTTCATCAGCACAATCGGTACTTTGTGAACTTTCGTACATATTTCTTTCGGTAACTACCACTGCTAAAATAATATATTACTTTTAAATAAAATTATGTAATATACAACTAGAAGAATCTTTTATAAATTATTTTATATTTAATACAAATTTATACCAGAAACTCCTTCACTATTTTGTTTGTCTCCATAGGCTTCTATGTCTGTGTTTGTTTGAGACATACCATATTGCAGTGGACCATCATATGCTATATAAATTTATACATTTATATATATTTGTACATGTGTACATGTGTATGCAAAATATGTAAATATTATTTTACTTATTCTCTTATAGGTTTAATTTTTAGTTATTTCTCACCATGAAGTTCCTTTGAATTCATCCATTTCTTAGAATGACTTGTAAGTTGTGCACTAGTCACATTAGATGCTTGTACCATTCCACTGGCACCAGTTTGCCTCTTCTGCTTCATTTTCTGTGCAATTAGTTGTCTCTGTACAAATCACCAATGCATAATAAATAATTTATACAATACTGTATTTTTAGAATTTAATACCATCTTCACAGATAAATTAACTATTATTTCTAAGATATACAAATAAGTCATATAAGTTTGAGTGAAAATTGTAATATAAATTAGATTTCTAGCATAAGTTTAAGAAATATATTAAAACCAAGAAATGTATTAAGTAGCGCACTCATAAAATTTTATTGCTATTAGATATCCACCAACGATGCATTGTTTCAGAAGCGCACACTGTTTCGTCAAAATTCCTCAGTAAACTTTCCACAATGTAAACAAGGTTTTTTACGCTAAATAAATTGCTACATCGTATGAGAAGCAAGATTATAGATTTCGAAACAACGCGATCGGAAATAAAAAATCTCACTTTATCAAAATTTAAATCGCACCTGCTGCTCGAGTTTCTGCTGTCGCAAATCGAGCGATGTCATCTTGCGCGAGATTGACTGTCAGAAAATTTAACGTTCGAGAATTGTGAATATCGACGCTGACGAACTACTTCTGTTTACGTCAAAAACATTCACTCGGTTGCGGTACCCAAGGCAACCGTATATACATTCGATCATAAATATATAAGTTGCATTCCGTTATTCACTGTCACAGCACTGAAAATCTATAATTCACGTGACTTATATTATAGATTTCCAGTATTGAGTGAATTTCGGAACGCAGTTCAAAAACTATACGGCTGCGTTTAGCAAAACAAGTTGCTCTGTAGCCAATTGAATGTGATTGGCTCTTTTATTTCAAACTAACAAATCAATGAGCGCTTTCCAGCTACGTAACACAGGCGACACTGTGTCCATTAGTGTGAGAAAGAGCATATCAGTGTGTCTCACTCACACTAGTGGACACTGTGTTGCACAGTGTCGCCTGTGTACGTAGCTGAAAAGCTCCTTTGACGTTTGTTAAGTGCATCGAAGATTCGATTGGCTTGCGAAATAGAAATTTCTAGGAATATTCGACAAGTTTTGCCGGGTGCTCATCCGAGTCGCGCTAACTCTCGCAAAGATCAATGGCCGCTTTTGGAACAAAAACTTTGCTTTATTTATCGGAACCAGAGCGAAGACCGAAAGCGGCCAGGCTCATAACAGAATGTGTAATCATTCTTCCGTCTTGTAAGCCAGCGCAATGTGTGGTGCACCTACGTAGCCATGTCCATACTTTGAGTCGCAGCTTTATGTCGTAAAACTTGTCCTCCACCCGATTTTTTTCTTGCTCTTTTAATTGTGTCATTTCGAATTTGATATTACTAGCACAACACAGGTGCACGCTATTGTTATTTTTATTTAACGTGTTGAACACGTGTTGTTGTGAACACAACCTGTCACCGCGATGACAGATAGTATACGTCTTATAAACCATATATATATACCGTAATCACGTCACCGAAGTCAGTAACACCGCCGCAGTCGCGCGGTTGAGGTCAGTAACTTCACCACAGTCGCGCGACCGAGGTCATTGACCCCGCCGCGGTCAGTGACCCCCCCACCAAGGCCGCGCGGCCGAGGTCAATGACCCCGCCAAGGCCGCGCGGCCGAGGTCAGTGACCCCGCCAAAGTCGCGCGGCGGAGGTCAGTGACATTACTGTAGTATGTATATAACACATATAATACAATATAAAGTATAATATTATAAATATATAATAAATTATATGTATAATATGTATTATTTAATGTTATATATAATATAAATTACTGTCACATTATTTTCACGTGTTGTTTTTCTACTCTTTCCTGTCACGTGACAGTTTAGTTACGTTTTTAATTTTCTCTACATATACGACGAACTTTCTCAAAATCGCTTTTCATTATTTACTCTCTCGATCTTACCGATTCGATTCGACAACAGAGGCAACAATAGATGCGATATATATGATTATTTGCACACGCTTTTTCTGGTAGGACACACACAAGTTTTCACACAAGTCGAATACGGCGCAATATGTTAACGATAACAATTATGTAAATGTATCATATATTTTATTTTTGTAAAATAAACATATACACAAATATATACAAAACCATATATTTCAGCTGAAAGCTACTTTTAGATCTTACAACTCGCTAGGAAAGTTTGTAAAAACATTTTGTGAAGATCAACATTAGAAACTAGTAATTAGAAAAATAGTATTTTTATCGATACTATAATTGATTTGATAGCGCAACGTATAGTCAGTTACACGTTTTTGATATCCTTATTGCTATACATTTGTGTTTGTCTCCTTCACGCGTTTTTGTACATTATTCTAACGTTATTTTATTATCACCTTACACACGAATCTCTTTTTCTTTTCTTTTTCTTCTTCTCAAAGGCACGTGCGCACATTTTTATACAGTACATCTTTTACGTGCGTTCTCTATTTTCTATTTCTATTTTTTGCGATTTCTCAAAGTTCGAGTTGTGTTGGTCTCGACCGGCTCGATGTCGACAAGCGAATCGTCGACGAACAACTTTCTCCTGCGAGTTGTTCGTTTTGAATCGTTGGACGATTCCGGAAGCGGCAGAGCCGCGCGTCTCGTGTTGCGTTTCGATTCGGATTCAGACAATTCGACAACCGGCACATCATCCTCCCGCTTGAGACGAGACGCGGTCTTTTTCCCACGTCGTGATTTGGTACGTTGTGACTTAATCGAACTGTCGTCCTCCGACGTGACGTCGTAATAATCTTTAGCTTTCGCATTGTCACCAGTCTCGTATTTCTGCAGCCTCTCCTGAAGAAATTCTACCTGATCCTGCAACTTCTTGTAAGTGTCCGGCGTAGGCGTAAGCTGTCTACAAAACAATTCTTGATACCTCTTCACTTCTCTCTTCTGTCTGTCCAAATCCTCCTGCTGGTTCTTCACTAAAGCCTCATACTTGGTGACTGTCTCGTCTCTGTTCTTCATAAACGCATTCATCTCGCATTCTTTGTGCATTAAATTAGTTTTCAGTTCCTCATTTAGATTTCTCAGTCGCTCGTTTTCAATTTGCCGTTCCTTCGCAGTCTCCTCGAACAGGTTAATGAACTTCGCGTTTTTCTCGTAGTTCTCCAAACGTATATTCAGCTCCTTGACATCCTGTTCCCTTTGAAACAGTTTCTCTTTTGTCTGGGTCAATTCGCTCATGATGGTTTTTAGCTCGGCTTCCATCTTGTCGTCAGCCTTCGCGGCACTTTCGTATCTCTGTATCGATTGTTTCAATTCTCTCTGCAAGGTCGAGATTTCAACGTCTTTCTCTTGTTCCTTGGAAACCGTTACCGCCAGCCGATTTTCAAGCTCCGACAGTCTCTTCTCGTTTTTCTCGAGTGTCTCCTTAATACACTTCTTCTCCATTTCGCAGGTTTTCAAATTTCCGTTCAATTCGTCGATGTGACGTTCCAGCTTTGCTATAGTTTCCGCGCTTTTTTCCAATTCCAACATTTTTTCTTTAAGCTCATCCAAGTGTTTCACGTCATCGGCCGCGATGCGATCGTCCGGTTTGTGAATATTTGTTTCTTCTTTGCGCTTCAATATGTAGTTGTTGAATTCTTCCTGCATCGATTCGAATTTATCCAACGATTGCTGAACATTACTCCGCGCGGTCGAAAGATCTCTTTTCAATTCAACGATCTCACGTTCGTAATTCGCGATTCTTTGCTCAAAAACCGTGTTAGAACTCGATAGCGCTTCTTCCGCTTTTTGCTTGTCTTCCGCGGCGAGTGACAATTGCTGTTCAAGCACCTGCACGGAGTGTTTGTATTCGTCTACGGCAGTCTTATTTGATTGATTTTCTTCATTCAATAATTGTACTGTCTTTTCCGTATCGCGCAGCTTCTCGGTCAACTCTTTAACTTTCGCACGGTCTCGTTCGTACTGCGCTTGAATATCGTTGTATCGTGCGGTCAGTTCTTCCATTTTCGTAACATCGTCGTTCGAAAGTTCGTCGGTCTGCACAGCCGCTTCTTCCCGAGCGCTTTCCTTATTTTCAACACCGTCGTTATTTACATCCACCTGGCAACCTATTTCCACAAACGTCTGTTTGCCGTGTTCAATATTTTGCTGCGAAATGTCCATTGATTCAGAGATTTGTTTTGAAGATGTTTCCAGTGGAAAAGTAAAATTAATCAAATCAGTTTTATCGATCTTTGATTCTTTCTGCATAGTTTTCGTCACGTTATTCAAGTTGTCTGACGTGTCGCCTACGATCAATTCTTCTTTTATAAAAATTTCCTCATACTCGTCTTGAACAAACGTCTTTGATGTTGATGTTTTTGAAGATCTCAGCACTGATCTCTCATTCTTCAACTGATTAATTTCTTCTTGCAGTTGTATCATCTTGTTCTCGTAATCAGACAGCTTTTCATTTTGGTGTTCCACCTTTTCGTCTAGAATCTCCACAATTCTGCTCTTCTCTGCCAAGCAAACGTTAACTTGCTCAAGATCCAACTCCAAGTCCTCAATTTTTTCCTCCTGTTCTATTATGGTCTTTGCTTGCTCGTCGATACAAAGTTCTTTTTTCCTCAAGTCAGACGTAATAGTAATGTATTCATCTTTCGCTTCATTGAGAACGATTTTGAGATTTTTTATTTGCTCGTCCTTGATGGACAATTGCGATTTCATTTCTTCTATAAAAGCTTTGCCGTCGTCGTTAAGATGAATATCTTCCAGAGCAACTTTCAGAAGACTTTTCGTTACCTTCAAATCCTCCTTCAACAGTCCCAATTGGAAACTAATTTTATTTTTCTCCACAATTAACGTCTCGTTCGTTACTTTAATCTCAGTCAATGATTTTTTCAACAATTCGTTCTTATCTTGCAATTTTGTATTTTGTTCGCTCAACTCCGCGATAGTTGAATCATGACCGTTATTATCTTCTTCATTGTCATCGTCGTCGTTGCGTGGTCTCTTCCTCTTGCGCAGCTGATTTAATTTTTTCTCGTAAAACTCCTCAAGCTGCTTCACCGTCCAGTCGAGATCGTCTTCGTGCTGAGCCTCCACGTCGTTTATACGTTTTTTCCAATCGACCTCGAGCTCGTTTATCTTAGCGATGTATTGTTCGGCCATTTCTTGCCGACTCTGAAAATCTCGAAGCAGAGCCGAATTCTTTAACATGACGATTTCTTTTTTCAACTTTTCGTTTTCTTTCACAACGTCCATGTATTCTTCCGATGTGAGATAATCCGATGTGGTTTCCTCGGGAATATCCGCTTGTTGCGAGTCCACATTTTCCACTTCCAGAGAATCCCAATCGGTTACCGTCTGCATACTCTGCATGACTATTTGCGAGAATCTGGACTTGGCTTTCTTTTTCTGTATTTCCTTCTTTTTTTCGATCACAATTTTTTTCGCAATAGCAGCAAAATTCAAAACATTTTGAGTCTCGATGTAAAGATTCGGCAAGGGATTAACGTTCACAATGAGAGCCAAGTGTTCTCTACCGGACAACGCTCGTTGGAAAAGTCTGGTTAATTTTGATTCTCTGAACGGCCCGACAGCATCCGGTTTTGTTCTTGTCAATTGCCCTTCGTGAATAGATTTCAAGCATCTTCCCAGCACCAGTAAACTTGTATTGATATTTTGCGCTTCTTTTAGTCTGTCTCCGACGTTCAGTGTTTTCTTCAAACGCTCGGAGCCCGCCAGATCACAAAAAGAAAACCTAGATATAAAAACATATGGAATTGTTATCATCAAAAACAAACTTAACGAATACGGCATGTAAAAAAATTGTTAGATATGTAATACATACGTGCTCACTTCAACAGTCTCAGGTTGGTGTTCCGCATAGTATTTCAAAAGTATAATAGTGAATATGCAATGAGATCTCGAACTTTTTGCGTTCAGTGCCGTAGCGGCTACTTTCAAATTGTACTGTCCTGCCATTAAAACCTGATAAGCCTCCGCTGCTGAATTAACATACACATTTTTCAAACCTCTGATAAACGCTCGACCAGAAGAATCTGATCCGAGTTTTAACGGCATTCTCTTTTTCTGACATTCATTTGACAACAAGTCGTATACAATTTCATTGTAAATTTCCGCGAACGACACCCAAATCGAGTAATGAGCGTCGTGACATTCACTGGGACGAACTAATTCCTCGTGCAACAACTTCTGCATTTCCTTGTAAGAATTCATGTACTGATGCTTATCCACAGAACTGAACGTGAGCAATTTAGTCTTCGCTTCAAGTTCTTGCGCGCGATCCAGCGCGCTAAGACTGATTACATCGTTATAATGCAGAGGTTTGTAGAGCGGATTTGGTTTTACTGTAATATTAGAAAATATAAATTCCAGTGCACGTGGTATGAGTCCAGGTGAGGTGTTGGTTCCTTGCAGTGTATAAGATTTTCCAGAATTTGTAGTACCTACAACACATAATTTACATTGTAACTACCTATATTTCATAACTTAAACCGTTTTTGTAATCAAAATCTGAAGTCTAAATATGAATATACTCTTATAACAAATATACTTTTATAACAATTATTTATGTTTTATGTATAAGTACACATATATTGTAGAGAAAATATATCTCACCATATGTCATTATTGTGCAATTATGTCCAGCTAAGAAATCTACCATCTGCTGCTGGACTGTTTGCTCAAATAATTCCAACTGAGTAGTTTCTGGTCCGAACGTTTGGGAAAAAATAAATTTCTTGCATATATTCTCTGTACTTTTAGGTTGTTTGACAGAACTTGTATCTAATATGGGTAGTTTTGTAACTAGTGTTGTAGAATTTACAATCTCATATGCAGTTTGCTGTTCTTCCGTTAATTTTAACTTCTTTGGAAATGGTTTAAGCCTTAAATATACCTTCATAGTTTGTATATGTTGGGAATTTTCTGACACATTGTCACTGTTTTCGCTAACTTTAGTTGCACTGTTTTCTTCCACTTCATAAAGTGAGAGTAACTTTTTTTTAGTATTTTTAGAAGGAATTGGCCTCTGATTATAAGCCAAAATACTTGGGTCTCTACCAAAGAGATATGACATTTCTTCCAGGCTTTCTGATGGACGAATCGAATCCAATGTATTCTCCATCTACAAATTTTTGATTTAAATATTATGTAATTACATACAAAACACATAAATGTATATTGTGCAATATAAATCTTGCTTCCAAATGTAAATACATGTACAAAGTTTCAGTTTTCATTATTCAAAATGATGAGCTTTATACTTTTTAATAAGCAATTTTTTAATTGTTACATTAGACAAAAAATATTACAATTGCTAATATATGTATGTTATACAAAGTTTATCATGTTTTAAAATATGACTATCAATTTAACATTTCCACATCTCCCAGAGATCACCAAATGTTTTGAGTTGTTATATTACATCTTTGTATGTTTGTTGTATTATATTTATGTATTGACAGAAAAACATATTTTGAAATATTGTTGACTTTTAAGAGAAAGTTTACTTATACTTTTGACTCAATGTGATATGACTGTTGACTTTAAGAGAGAGTTTATAGAAATACACACAGTACCTTTATATCATATACTATTAGAACAAAGTGATAAGATGATAAAATTGCTATATGGCTTATTTTGGACCTTCAAAAATTCATTATGTGCTTTATGTTGTAAGGAATATCCTAGAAAATTAAGAAAATAACTGGACGCACATGCAACACGCTTGCTTAGCGTGACAAACGGCGGATGAACACCGTCCGAAAGCTTGCGAATAGTGTTTATTTGCCGCTTGTTACGCTAATCAAGCGTGTGTTACATACGTCTCTACACCAGTTAGTTTCTTAAATTTTCTAAAATATCCCTTACAATTATTCATGACATATAAAACATTGATTAATATGACATTTACATGATTTGAGCAAGTTCTTGATGAAAACTAACGTTTTCGTTCTAGAACCATACCTTGTTGTATCGCGTAATAAACCTCCTCGTGTCTTAAACAAATGCTAATTTTGTATCGTTTTAAAATTCGACAAACACTTCGCGAATAAAAAAATAATATAACACATATAAAAAATAATATATAATAATACTACACATTCCCTGCACAATTTGCGTTGTACACATTCACTGTACGACTTAACACCGCATCTGATGTGTTTAGAGCAAACGGTTTTGTCCGACTTCGCCGAATTTCAATTGAAAAGACGCTTTCGTCAATTGACAGCCGATTGGTCGGTTGGTTAGTTCGTTGATTCGCGCGTAGTGGCCACACTGGGCTACGTTCCAAAATCTTACCAGACAAATAAGTTAGTGTTTGATTTGACCAATCAGAACAAAAAAGCAAAAACCCGCGTTTAACAGACCAATTGCTGAGTTCTCGTCTTGTCAACATTCGTTGTTGATTTATCGGTTCTTAAAAGCAAAAGAGCCAAACACGTTCGGTTGCGCTACGTTCGAACCAGCTTGTTCTGCCGAACGCAGCAAGAGAGAGAGATTACTGACTTTTATCCGTTTCGGGATGATAACCTAAAACATGGATTTCTGACTATTTACGAACTTTGTTTGTCGAATTTTTACCACAAGTGAGACAGGAATGTGAGGTAACGTCTTTTTGTAATTTTTTCTATCTCTCCGCTATCGGTTCCGCTGATTGATCTCATGTGATTTTACGTGAAAATTTTTTACACCTCGCTTTTAGTCTCTTGCTGTGACGCAGGATTCCGCAAATTGTTTTATGAGTGAGAGTTTCACATAAAATTACACGGTTGTTTGCGCGCTTGTTATTGAATATTTTAATTCGATGTTTGTCAGGGATAAGTTCAAGATTAAGGTGGTCGGTACCTAACGGGAAGAACGAACTCGTACTGTCAACTGTCGCATGATGGGAAGCTACAACAAGAAAGTTGCCTATTTCTACAATCCGGAGGTGGGCAATTTCCATTACGGACCCGGCCATCCTATGAAGCCCCATCGGCTGTCCGTCATACACAGTTTGGTACTGAACTACGGTCTTCACAAGAAGATGCAAATTTACCGTCCGTATCGCGCCAGCACTCACGACATGTGTCGTTTCCACTCCGAGGATTATGTCGAGTTCCTGCAACGCGTCACGCCGCAGAATTTGCAGGGCTACACCAAGTACCTGACTCATTTCAATGTGGGAGACGACTGTCCCGTCTTCGACGGTCTTTTTGATTTCTGCTCCATGTATACAGGCGCCTCGCTCGATGGCGCGACCAAACTCAACAACAATTGCTGCGACATCGCGGTCAACTGGAGTGGCGGTTTGCATCACGCTAAGAAGTTCGAGGCATCCGGTTTTTGTTACATCAACGACATCGTCATAGCTATATTGGAATTGCTCAAATACCGCGCCAGAGTACTGTACATTGACATAGATGTGCATCACGGGGACGGCGTGCAGGAGGCCTTCTATCTCACCGATCGCGTCATGACCGTGTCCTTTCACAAGTATGGCAATTACTTTTTCCCTGGTACAGGTGATATGTATGAGATCGGTGCCGAGAGCGGACGATATTACTCCGTCAACGTGCCCTTGAAGGAAGGAATCGACGACGCGTCCTACATACAAATCTTCAAACCCGTAATATCTCATGTCATGGAATTCTTTCAACCGACAGCTATCGTCCTTCAATGCGGCGCTGATTCTCTCGCCAACGACCGACTCGGTTGTTTCAGTCTGAGCACCAAGGGACACGGCGAATGCGTCAAATTCGTCAGGGATCTCAACGTGCCCTTGCTCACCGTCGGTGGTGGCGGTTATACGTTACGTAATGTTGCTAGATGTTGGACTTACGAGACGTCCCTTCTCGTCGACGAACAGATCAGCAACGAGTTGCCCTACACGGAATACTTGGAATATTTCGCGCCTGATTTCTCACTTCATCCGGAGGTCGTCACAAGACAGGACAACGCTAACAGTAAGCAATATCTTGAGGCGATTACAAGACACGTGTGCGACAATCTCAAGATGATTCAACACTCGCCGAGCGTTCAGATGCAAGACGTTCCGTGTGACGCGTTGCCACCCGAGGAGGAGAGACAACCGGAACCGGATCCGGACTCGCGTCAAAATCCGCAAGACACCGACAAGATTGTTGAGCCAGCGAACGAGTATTATTCCGGCGACAAGGATCAGGACAAGATGGACGTGAACGAATCGTGATGAAGAAGGATCTTTTAAAAATTTATACACACAACACCTCCTCCCTTTTGTCTGTTACACTTTTAACGTGCGCGGTGTGTGCGAATCACGTTACGAGAGTTACGGAATAAGAAGCGTGTGCTCGAATGAACTGTAAAAAAAAAAAGTAGAGATTATGTTTACTATGACAGAAAAAAAAAAAAAAGCAACTACCAATATCATATGTTTGTAATATTTAACTGCGATGTGATGCGAATGTGTAAATACACGAGAATCATGTTTTTTTTTTTTTTTTAATTTTTAAAATACTGATAAAATATATTTTTTTTACCGCTGTAATATACAATCTTGAATAAATAAACTAAAGCATCAACGTCTCTTCTCCCGTGTTTGATCTTACGCATACAATATCGCGAGATGGAGCGATAAGGTTGGAAGATACGATGTTGATGAATTTATTGTGTGCTACTTGTTTAAAATTTATTTCTTAATTACGAAAAACTTAATATCTTAAATATTCATTAGGCGAATTTATTGTTTTACATCGGACAGCGATATATCTATATATATATATTTATATAGTCTACATAATGATACAACAACGACGAGAGATGTGTGAGGACGATATTTTATAATATATATATAGCGACAATAGTGTAATATATAGTAATACCAATAACGCAGTATAACATTTATGTATCCGTCTCGAGGCTATATCTTGCTATATCACAGAGAAAACTTAACCTCTCTCTTTTTCTTTTCCTCTTCGTCAACTGCAAAGCAGAAACGTAAAAACAATCCCCTCTTCTCTTCGCGAACTCTCTCCGCTCTCTCGGGCAGGCGAGCGACTTAAATGCGACTGATTGTAATAAATAGAATCTCTTAAATTAAGGCGCTTTGTTCTGTACATTTGTATCTTAAAACACTACGAAAAAGTCTCTCGAAAAATAATACCTGTACAAAAATACTCGCGAGGAACGCAAATATTTATTATTTATTTTTTTTTTTTTCTTCTTAATTCGCAATCACTCTTCTTTCTGAAAAACGGCGCGAAAAACTAGTGGATGCGGAGTCGATGTGCGTGTGCGTACTCTTCGCGCACGCACAAACGCACAAACGCTAAACTTTGTACGCGGTTGTAACGAACTTTCGCCTTGCAAAAGACTGCGGTTATTTCTTTATAGCTTTCTATATTCGTTTCGAGACAAAAAAGTTTCTACGCGAAGCAGCCACATACATGTATGATTGTGTGTATGTAAGTATATGTATAATTTTCAGTCTCATAGTAACAACAATTCCATTTGGTGTTTGAATCTTCCGATGAAGTATCTCTGCGTATATGTTTCAGCAGCCATACATTTTACAAAACTATATATACAGCGCATACAACAAAGTTAGGAAATAATCATTTCGGACGTTCTTGCTGCGTGTCTCTTTGTTCTATACAACTTGCCTGACTAGATGCTGTTGTTGTTCTTCTACGTCCTGTTTTTGTTCGCGATTTCAAGAGCATTTGATGGATACTACACAGTAGTAGGACGTGCTTTAGTTTCACCGACGATACGATCAGTGGGACGGTATGATCAGTTACGTTTCGAAGTGTTTGTAAATACTCGTCACGTACGTCATAACTTGCTGCCAATCGGGTCGCTCCAGTTGACACATTTCCCCGATGTTCTGCGCAATGAGTTTTCGTGTTAACTTAATTTGAACAAATTGCGTCGCGTTTTGTTGCTGTTATAACGCGATTATCTCGAAGATAACAAATTTATCGATTACTGACTTACCAGAGTAGTGGATATGCCAACGCTCTCGGCGGCAGCAAAGGCGATCGAGAAGTTTCGCCGCTTCTCGACCGGCGTCAACGTATCGTACGGTATTTTGTGTGGCATGTAGGAATGAAGAATCGCGCACAGCGCCAAGCCGTCGTTCCACGAACTGCTGAAGTTCGTTATATCGATATTTCTATAGCCTATTGTCTTATTTTGACACCACTTGAGCAAAGCGTTGCGCTTGGACCCGCCGTTCTTCACCAAACCGCACAGAGGATCCTTGCGTTCCGACAGATCTGTCACGCTGTTCCGTCGCACGAAGTCAATCGCCTTGGCGTTCAGAGCGCTCGGGTCTAACAGCTCGCCCGGACTCAGAACGACGGGTGTCGACTTAGTCTCTGCGCGTCCAACAATGAAAACATGCTATTATGTGGAATACGGAGAAAGGAGATAAGCTGCCCTAAAATGCGCGTTCATCTTCGTGCGTGATATTTTTGTGTGTGTCTGTGCCTAAATTAATTTTCTGTCTGTCGGGAACATCCAAGCCGAAACACATTTTTTTTTCACGTTATTAATTCGAAACAGATTTTTATATTATCGATGTGCTTTTAACATTGACTGAAAAAAAATTACCTGACACCGGTTTCTTCGCGATCGACGACTGCGTCTTGTTGTTGTTCGTCGAATTTGCCGTGCAGATCAAATTGTTTATTTGCTGCTGGTCTCTCAGAGGAGCCTTCAAGGACATGATGTCCGTCGTTCCGATCGAATTCAGAGACGATGTGGAACTGCTACGGCTTCCGGGTCCTAATTGTAATTTTTTTTTTTGTTATACGTCTAAATATAAATATGTAAAAAAAAAAATAAAATAACGTATATATACAGGGTGTCCGACAATTAGTGTAAAATCTCTCGTTGGCAGGTAGAAGGAGTCGAAAAGTCCTGAACCATTTTTTTCTATTACATATAATAAAGAAGTTAATTATTGAATAAATCAAGCCAATCACAGCGCCGATTTTTAGCCGGGCGCACGTCAGTGAATCACGCGTCTGGTGAGCGATCCTCTGGCGCTGATTGGCTTGATTTAATAATTACTTCTTTATTACATGTAATAGAAAAAAATGGTCCTTTCTACCTCTGCCTACGAGAGATTTTACACTAACTTGTCGGACATCCTGTATATGTACCAGGATCGAATGCCTATTTACCAGCTTTAGCTTGTTTCGTGGCGTTCTCGATACTCTCGATCAAACACTTCACGGAAAGCCTCGAGTCCTGACGCGAGATGTTGGCCTTTCTACGAGCAGCGATCTCCTGCTGCACGCTCGTTAACACGGATTGTTGCGTTTCCGTCGGTGTGCTGGCTGGTCTCGAAGTCGGTTGTTGTTTCTGGTTGGCTGAAGAATTTCCAGATAATAATCACATCCTCTAGTTATGAGAAGTAGCGTTGTAAAATTTCCAAAGAAGGAACAAAAGAGAGTAACAAAAGCGTTAAGCCAACATTTGATATGATCGTGCATAGATGAAAAACGACAACGAACAATCGGTAATCGAAATACTTGAACAAATTTGACAATTTGCTTTAACTTGGAACACGTTGCGCACGTATTGAAATTCAAAATCAGAAAAGAAAAAGAGAAAAAGAGAGAAAAAAATAACAGAAATAAGCGAATGTAACGTAGCGCAGAGCTTACCGAGGAAGAACACATGAAAAACAAAAAAAAGCCGATCAACAATTGAACAACTATTGGGACACTCGGAGCACGAAGGACACGATTTGTCAATGTGAAGCAACCTCGTAATCTCTGGCCTAAATCGGGAAAAATCGGGGAACGGACAATGGATCCAGCAGCTTTTGCGGTACAAGCGGTGATCGAGTGGTTCCCACATTTTTAACAGAGAGCGACTTACGCTCGAGATAATTGCTTGTTTGCAACAAGCGCCGACCCGGCGCCATCCTCAATTCCACGTCTTCTACGATCGTTTCAAACTTTTCTCTCAACGACGACGTTCGACCCACTGACGGAGTAGTTTCGTCTTTGCGAACGGAGCTCGCGACACTTGGCGACGACGATCTCGATTCTTCGCTTGTCGAGAAAGGAACCGTCTCCTCGACTCGAGGAGAATCGTCCTCGCTCGCGGCCTGTAAACTACTCTGCAAGAATTTCATGCGATTCGATCGATTCGTCTCGCTCGATCTCGACCACGTCGATTGCCGATCCAACTCTTGATTCGAATATCTCGCTTTTCTCGATGACGCGAGCGATGATGAATCAACCGAGATCGGATGTTCCGATTTGGTCGAAACTCGACGCTCCGACGGTTTCGGTGACAACGGATACGACTTTCGTCTGCCCAACGAAGCGTTTAACGCGGTTGAAATTGCACCTTTGGAACTGGAACCATTTACATTCTTCTCGAATCTCGGTGACTTCGTAACGACATGACTCTCGCTGGACGAGCCGAGTATCTTCGAATCTTTAAACGCGTTTTTTTCTCGATCACATTTCGACAACAAAGATTCAACCGCGGTTTCGTCATCGTCGATGATAACCTGCTTCGCCGTCCACACCCAGTTACCGCGCAATGTTTTCCCTTCCGCATCTTTTAACGTAGACGAAGATTTATCGCATCTCGTCCCACGCGACTGTTCGGATTTGTCGTCCAACGACGATTCCGCGTGATTTCGACCAGTTCGCGATACCGCGGACGATTGCGGGGTTGTCGCGTTCAATGGCAAGTCGACTATCTCGCGACGCGGTTTCGAGTCGCGCTTCTTCAAAAATCTCTGCCTTCGTTCGCTGTGTTCTCTCAATGTCAGGGGCGGATCCGAAAGCGCTTTCACGTATCTCGAATTCCCGCGTTGCTTCGTCGTCGCGTCTGACGACTCGACGTCGACCAAATTGGGTGACGATTGACTCGTGCTCGGACTGCTGTAACTTCTTTGCAACAGTTTCCCCATCTCCGGATCGACCTCGAACTTCAGATCGTTCATAACGCACTCCACGCCGGAAAATATGTAATCTCTCGGTACGAAGAAACGACTGTTGGAGATATCAATGCCGTAAGAATCCCCGTCGGCGTTTTGTATACCGCGAATCTCTTTCAACAACGAACTCTTCGCTTCGTCCTTGTCCGACGTTCTTGCAACGGTGACGTACAGTTTCGGATAATCGTCCGCGATCGTTGAGAATGCGTCGCTCGAATTGAAAACGTTATCCGATTCATTCGAGAACAGATAGAACTTGGAGGACTCGCTTCCCGACGATTTCGACTGTCTTGAACTTCGAGTCGCTGAATCACGTTCGTCCGCCTCATCCGAGGCACGAGGTTTTTCGATGCGAAAGTTGGGACAAAATTCGATCTCTTCGCCGGAAATCAGTTTCTCGTCCAACGTGATGGCTTTTTTTTTAAGCGCCAAATCGTTGTTGTCGTCCGGCAACAAATCGTGTTTCTTTTCGCTCGAAAAAGCGACGACACTTACGTTTTCTCGATCGTCCATCGTCGTTTTCAACAAGCTGTTTCGCGATACGTGTTTTATCAGATCGTAACGTCTTTTTAGAATCGTCCGACCACGCTTTAATATCACGCTCCCCGTTTTCAGCTTATTCCCGTTAGTGGTATCGAACGCTTTGCAGCTATTCACTGCAGTGCTGTCTAAGTACGCGGCCCGCGATTGAGGAAAATAGGAACGAAATGCGAAATTAATGCAAGTCTCGATACAAATTTTGTTTTTGTTTTTTATACAATATATAAAAAATAAAATAATAAAAACAAAAATATTGCTTCTTCTCTACGGTATTCAATATTGTATATATAGTTTTTTTTTCATGCTTTATTTTTTGTAGAAAAACAAAAATATTATGTGCTAGTATAAGACGATACTTTGTTTTACTTTTGCACACAACACATGTGTGTTAATTTCTTTCGACCGGTCTCGCGGCCTGAGTGCGCGAGTTGCGAATATGGAAGTTCCGAGTTCGCGAATCCGATTATATCACCTTAGGATGTTGTTTTCCCTTTCAATCGAGTAAATCGGTTAATTGGCGAACTAAAATCCGGATCTCCCAAGATTTGACTCGAAGTGAAATGTTGAATTAAATTCCTCTCCCACACAAGGCGGATCTTAAGTCACAACACCCAGAGCACGAGCCCGACACAAGAAAAACAGTAAAAGAGGAAGAGAATGTGGCCCGCAAAAATTGTGCGCACATTTATGGGCACGTTAAAATAATAACATAAAAAAAAAAAAAGTTTAATTTCTTTCTCTCTCGTATCGCAATATACTATCACATAACAGTTTCAGTTTGAAGTCAAGTTGACGATCGGTTCCGTTTCTTTACCTTTGTTCAGTTTATCGAGCTGCGCCTCGAGCGCTCGGAGCTTGTCTCTTTGCGCCTTGTTTTCCATGACGACGCGCTCGAGCTCGCTCTGAGCCTCGGTTTTGAAGTCATTGGCGACTCGCACCGTCATCAGCAGATCGGTCTGGAATTGTTCCCATTCCGCGCTCTCGTCCTGCCGCAATTTACGTTCGTCGGCCAACGCGCACTCAAGCTCGTACATACGCGTTTGCGCCTCCCTTTCCTTTTGTTGCGTTTCGCTCAGCGCGACCTTGAGTTCCCGCTTGTCCTCCAAGTGCCGTTGGCACTGCGCCTGCAATTCCGCCAGAGAGTCCCGGACGAGTTGCAGCTCTGTGCTCACAGACAGCCGCTCGTCCTTCAGTTGATTCAGTCTGTACTCCAAGTCATCTATGGCAGATTTTGCGTTGTTTTGAGCCACCTACAATATTATTCGCATACATAAAAAAAAAAACAATCCACTTTATAAAATTTATCGTCAGCTTTTTCATTGTCTCAACCGAAACATACTTTATATTCTTCCTGAAGCTGCGAGTACTGATCCCTCCATCGATCGCGATCGCAGTGTGAACGTGCCAATTGTTCCTGCAACGCGGCCGCCTGCGTCTCCAGTGTGTCTTTCTCGCGTCTGGCCGCGTCCAACAACTCGTCCGCCTTGCTCTTGTTCTCCGGTTGTCTAGACTGTTCCGTTTCTTCGATCTTTGCCCGAGCGTTCTCCAATAGAATTGCCAGCCTGCTGATCTCTATGCTACGATTTGCAACTTCCTGCCGAGTTTCTGCCAATTCCTTATCGAGCTGCTTCCGCTCGACAATCGTGACGTTCATTGACGCTTCCAGCAACTCAACGCACTTGGCTAGTCGTTGGGCTTCCGCCGCGCTAGCGTCGGCAGTCGCTCGCAAATTCTTCAGTTCGCAGGTCAGCTCCTCTTGCTTTTGAAGCAGAGCTTCTCGTTCCTCCTGCGCGCTCTGTAGTCACTTGAGCAATTAGCAATCGATCGATTCTGTCTGTATGTGTAAGATTTTACTCACTTTTAAAAGATCCACCAGTTTCTGTTCTCTCTCTGTGTTGTAGCCTTTGGACATCTCCTGTGGCTGCTCTTCTCTCAGGAGTAGCCCTTGTAGAGTATCGACTTTGGATCGAGAGTCTTCTAGCTTCTCCGTTTGGCGACATAGTGACTCCAAGAGAACACCTTTTTCCTCGGTCAATCTTTCGTTATCAGCTTGCAACTCCGTCACTTGCGCCTGCGTTCAAATAAATTTTCACACATGTGCTGTGTGTTGTGTCTCTATCCTTAAATACAATCCAAGTGTCAAACATAAAAAAACAAACCTGCAAGTCACTCAATTCTTGAATAGTAGCCTGCAATTCTTCGTTTGTGGAATAATGCGTTTCCTCCATTTGCAAGATTCTGTCTTGCAAGCACGCCACCGAGACCTCCGACCTGATCGAGCTGGAGGAGTATTTGTCCCAGTCTGGCGTTGTGCATTGAGCTCCCTCCTGAGGTGTGCTGACGTTAATCGCGGGACTTTCATCCTGAGGGATGGCGATTGAAGCTGGGGCGGAGTTGTGAAGCCTCGAAGCGTCCAGCAGCAGCTGTTGCTTCTCCGTGTCCGACAGCGGAGAATGAGCCACGTCCCTGAGACGAGCGCAAAGAACCTCGTTCTCTTCGGTAAGACGTTCCAGCTCCAAACTGTGCTGCTCCTGTTCACGCAGGCAACAAACAGCGAATCATTAGTCGATAACTTGCTCAACATAATATAATTTTACGTAAGAGTTTAATAAATTAATTTGAATAAAAGTAGTTCTAGCGTATATATATGAACAAGTGTTTACACATTTTTGCACCGATCGTTTGACCGATACGTTTGCAACAATCGCGTAAATTTGCGTCGCGACGTTTTTACATAATTGTTACGTTTACATAAAATCGCAATATTTTCATACAACATTCCGAACGAGAAGAGAAGTCACGTAAAGGCGGCAGTTGGCGAACAATTCTCTAAAAAGCTCCAAAATATCGTGTGGAACCATAACATTCGTCGGAGAACTCGCAATCGACTTGAAACAAACAAATCGCTCGCGGACACGGGAATAAACGCGCTTTTCTTTCTCGCGATAAACGCAATTGTTGTCAAAAGGGGGTTGAAGGGAGGAGAGAGGAGCGGACAAGTCAAACCGTATTCGCGAGGTTAGAATCGAACGTTTCTTCGACGAATGTTTCTTCCGACAAATCGGAGCACAGCACGGCGGCACGACACGAGAAGAAACGTTTTGCGGTGTTTGAAATCTACATGAAAAACTCAGCGGGCGTTTACCGTGGGCGAGGACGAGAAGCAACGTTTTTTCATATCGGATTCGCTCGCTTTCCCCCCGGCGCGCTCTCTTTCTCTAGTACGTAAACATCCCCGCCGAGGGTCTACCACGCCGCCCTCTGGATCCGTTTTCGAATTACACGCGTAAACCGACTCGAAGCTAATGCAAACAACCAGAGTACGAACACGGCCGTAAGTACGACTCGTTTTATTTTCTCAACCGATAGAACTTAGAAGTAGAGTTAGAGTACTTCTCTAAGGGTTGATATCAAGCCTCGTCATAATTTCTGGGTAAAATTAACGTTTTCCAGTATAATTTGTAGATAGAATGTACACACAACGTGTGCGCGCACACATATGACTCACACATAGACTTTAAGAATTTCTTTATTGTCACAACGTTAGATGCAAAACTCTGGCTCTCTCTCGTTGTTTTTTTTTTTTTTTTACATAATTTATGTTTAGCAATTATCAGATTTCCAAAAAATTGTTTTGAAAAAAACAAAAACAATGTGCGACCGCGCGACTCTTCGTCTTCTCTGTTTTTCTCTCTCTCTTCCTCCTCCGCTTTTCTCTCTCTCCCTCTCTCCCCCTCTCTGGTCTCTAATATTCTAACGGTTACGTCGGTTACGCGAGAGTCCCAGCAATGAAACCGGTATAATTTCCGCCGAGTTCGGATTCCGACACTACAGCCAGAAAGTGATTTCTTACGATTATTTAAGGTGACAGAGAGATTTCATTATACAACGTCCATGTTTTTACGTTTAACTTTGAAAAGATTAGGTTTTTTAACGCAAGTTAAATTTTTTTTTTTTTTTTTTTTTTCAGAATACATTTCCGTGACAGCTGTGACGGAGATTAATAGCAACGGAGCGACCTTTCTTCTCCCCCGCTGGGAATAAATTTCGGAAGAGCTTAGAAATTGTAAGAAAAAATTGTAATAGATTTTTGTTCCCAAGGTACGTAGTCGCCCGAAAAGATTCTCAGGCAAGTTTTCGCAACCGACGTATTTTTGGGAAGAAGACACACACTTTGTGTGCGTTCCACTTTTCTCTCCTCACGCGCACAAATCCTTGACATAAAAATTATTTGAGACCGAAACGAAAATTTAACACCGCCCCCCCCCCCGTGTGCAAATTTTTTCAAACATCCCGTATAGCTTTTACGCATCGTGTGTAATTTAAACTTGATGCGAAAAGTAGCAGCGCAGATCTCTTCCCGTATCTCGATCTATTTAAGAGCAATTTAGATGCGAAGAGAATTATATTTTTACAGTCTCTCACAAGGCGGCCGTCCTCGGCCATATGTTGCCTTCCTTGTACAGTCGTAAAAACACGAAAGGAGAGGGGCTCTGCGTAGGTATGCACGTGTACAGCAGTTAGGTATGCAAGAGGGGAAGGGAAGAATTAATGGAAGGCATCAACTATACGGATGAATCAGAGCGACATTTTGCGTCGCGATACATAATTCATTCATCTAGTATAATTTTACGACGCATTTGTTCCAGGCTCTTTGCATTAAACATTTCATCAGTTCTCACGTCAATGGGTTTAGCGTTCAACGCTGATAAGCTGTGACTTATGTGTTGTGAAGAAGATGCAAAAAAAAAAACGTACGGCTAAAAAAATGATTAATACGGATATATTTTTTTTTTAATCTCTACTTCTATTCATAAATTTCAAAATCTGTAATAACGAAAAGGTGATGTGATTTGTTTAATTTTTTTCGACAGTCGATCTCTCTTCGAAAGCTTACCTTGAGGGCGGCGAGTTCGGCGCGTAGCTCGCGCAAAGTCTGAGCGTCGGTAGCCGCGTCGCGCAGATTGGCTTCGAGGCGTGCGCGATCCTTGCGCAAAACTTCAATCTCTCGTTCCAGCTCTTGCATCCTGGAGACCTTGGCCGGGCCCTTCGCCGGCGACGTCGCCTTGGTCCTGACCGGCTCCTTATTCGCCACGGAGCCGGCCCAGTTGTTTCCGACCGGCGAGACGTCGTTCTTCGCCTCCAGCGAGGAGGCGCTCGGCGCCGGGCGCAGCGATGCCGATTGCTGCTGCTGCTGCTGCGCCGATTGCTGATGACTGCTGGGCTGTCCTCTGCGAAACAGCGATTTGAACTTCATCATGGTCACTCGACTGGTCACTGCGGATTCTCGAATAATAATGTTTCTCGTTGATGAGACTGAAACTCAAGAGAGTTTCAGAGAAATGTTAAGCGGAAACAATTGGTTTTTCTTCGAAATGTCTAAGAATGCCTGGGATGCGAATCCTTGTCATCAACGGACGACGACATCGTCGGCCGTTCCCGTTAGCGGCCACTTGAAACACTCGACCGAGAAGCGCGTTCGCATGACTGTCATCATCCTGTCGCACCTCCTCCGGTTACGACCGATCGTACATAATCGTCGCTAGGTCACGAACGCGAATTATTCCCAACCTTCACGAACCGGGCACTGATAAAAGAACTGTCTTTTGACTAAATACCCGGGAAACGAGTAAGAGATTATACGAAAAATTGATTCCGGAGAATGAGAACAACTTTGCTGAAACGGCGCCAGTTATCAGAGTTCTTTAAATAGTACTTCATCTAAAAGAAATTGTCTTTTAAATAAACATATAAATTTTATCGGTGTTTTAAAATATTATTAAAAAATCTCTCTCTCTCTCTTTCTCGGTCTTTTGTTAGTTGTCGAGAGATTTATCAATTTTTTTCGATGCAGTTGTTTACTTGAAATCTATTCCTCGAGATAAGAATTAGACTATCTCTATCTATGTGATTAGTTCTTCCGATGAAAAAGTTTTCAATCTTAGAACACATAAGTTCTAACGCTTTTTATAATGCGCTCATAAAGCATTTATCAATCTAACTTTATCAATATCTCAGTGTTTAAAACGCAATCACAACAACTTGCATCAAGAGAGCGGTGACTTTTAAAACCATTCCAGTTTTAATGCATTTGTTAAAAATATAATTAATTTTTAGTGAGTTCTTCAGCCTCTCTATGGAAGAAAGAGAGAAAGAAAGAAAGAAAGAAAGAAAGAAAGAAAGAGAGAGAGAGAGAGAGAGATGTGATCACGAGATGTACACAATTCTTGTCATAAAGACACATACAAACAACAAATCACAAGTTCCATTTCTTGTTAAAACAGTCTCGAATTGATAGAATTTAAAACTCAGCTATTAATGCTCTCGGCTCTCGTATATTCCTTGCGCGAAACTCTAATTTCGTCTTCAAGGATGTACTTCAGAAGCGTATCTCTTCTCATGCGCTCGGTTTCTTCGCCACGTTTAAAGCAAAGCGATATCTCTTTGTAAACATCATATTTGCCTTAGATCATTGGGTCAACAAAAACTTCGTTTTTTTTTTTTTTTAACTCTCTTTTTGTTCAAAATTCTTCAAGATATTCCTTTGAGATTCCGCGAGATAGCGACGTTACGCGACATGGACGATCGGAGCCGCATCGTGTGGCTCGCGCTCGCCAAGGAATTCGAAGATTCGAAGCGAGTGGCCTCGAGCCACTTTCCTCGGCGCGCCGAGAGTCCCTGGCTTTTTCTTTTTTTTTTCTTTTTCTTCTTCTTCTTCTTCTTCAGGGCGACGAGAAACGAGAAAGGCGCGTCAGCCTCGTTCGTCGCGCGACGACCACTTGTTGCTCTCCAATTCGATCAACGACCGAGGGTCCGTTCCGCCGAGCGGAAGGACGTCCAGATGTCCTTGCGGTGGCGCGGTCCCCTCAAGGATCCCCAAGGACAATGATCTACGCGTCGAGAGCGCTCGAAGAAACGAGGGAATGGAGATTTAACGAGGCTTTTTCGGTTTAAATAAAATGTCGGATAACGGAAGTGTGATATCTCTCTATCTGACGAGTAATCCTGAAAATGATGTTCTCGAGCGGCCGATCAACGTCGCGATCAATTTCGGTTATCCATCCGCGACACGACACGACGGACACCGCACGACAGTGCATCGAATACTGAATACGTGAGTCGACAGTCGCCCTCTCTCCTTCTCTCGTGATTCTGCCCTGTCTCTTCCCCTTCTCCCCACCCGGTGCTCCGTTCTGTTCCTCCTGCTCCTGCTGAGACCAAGGTTTTTCTTAAGCAGCCCGCTCTTTCTCCTCCCCCCCTCCCTCTCTCTCTCTCTCTCTCTCTCTTTCTCTTTTATTTCCTTTGCCTAGCTGGACTCCGAAGGGCCAACGTGTTGTAAATGCAGCCAGAGGTCGTACTTCGGTCGCACTGTGTGTGTTCGTCAGCCATTGAGAAATTCTCTCGTCGCGAATTCCACGCCTCGACTTTTAAAAAGAACGTAATTGCGAACACTGCTTAGCCTTATATTCGCGCGTTATTCAGACCGCGAAATTACAAGCGATATATATATATATATATATATATATATACATATAACACACTCATTCAATGACTTCAGCCGCGTGTCCGAATTTAATAAAGTCCCGCTAAGATCGGGCAGTAAATTTAAACGCGGTTGACACGAATCTTTGAGACGCCAAACGCCGCAATTTGCGGCAACAGATTGCGGAAGACTGAAATTATTTTTTTTTTTGTCGCATGCTTTTGACATTTTTCAATGTTAAAAGTATGGTAATCGCGATGCTCTTCGTCATCAAGAGAGTTGACCAAGTATACTCTCAGCGAAGAGGAAAGTTTCCTCTCTCGTCTATAAAGTTTCCGCGATATTTATTTCTTTGGTTATTTATAGTTTTATGTTTTTTTTTATCTTCTTTTTCCTCACAAGAAATATGACCTTAAATTGCTTCGAACTCCGTAAAACGTACAAGGACCAATTTCGAGGTGAATGCTCTCGCGGTTTTTGCGAAATATCGACTAACGAATTTGTCCGATTAATTTAGCACCGCGCTTGCGCCATGTGCGTGTGCAAAAAGAAGTTTATTAAAAGATAAGCAATCTTGCTGGTATATGATCTCGGAGCGCAGCGAATTGACGCGCTTCGATCATTCGGAATCGCGTCGATTTTTGATCGGCGATAGAAGGGAGAGAGAACGAAGGATAATTGCCCGGATGAGAGACGGTCGTCGGAAGCTCTTGGGAACGAGTACGCCGGCTCGTCGTCGTCGTCGTCGTCGTCGTCTTCGTCGACGTCGTCGAGGATGGCACGACCCACGAAGAAGAGAGACGGCAGGAGAGAAGCGGAGGAACTGCTTAAGGAGGCCACACGGAATCCGCAGACGTCTCACCGGTCGACCAGTTTTCTCATACGGTCGACATATGGTATCTACCCGGTGGCCGAAAGGTCTCGTCGCCGCGGGATATAATACGCCAAGTAGGCAACGAGCGTCTCTCTTGTTTCGGAAGATCCGAATCGGTCCGTGTGTTTCTTTCGCAAGTGAACGTCACATTTGCGAATCCAGATTCTCACTGTTCTGTTTTTGTCACACTTCGCCAACTAACAATAATCAAGAGTTAGAAACTTGGATACGAAAATAAAACAAACTATTAACTCTCTTTCCTCTAGTCACAATGTTTGCACTCAGACATTCACGTTATTTTTTTGTCATCTGTATTTAGTCTTCATCGTCTATACGTTGGTCTTATTAAAGATACTTGTAATACCGCGCACGACGTGACTATCGATGATTACATTGGTCTTCGAGAATGTCCGAGAGCACTTTATCGGGGAAACAATTGTAAAAAAAACGAAGGAGTGACATTAACATAGGAATCCAAGTATATTTGCATTCCAACTATTTCCCTCTTTCTAGATTGTCTTCCCAACGATAAACACAAAGAATAATTTTTTTATTTTATTTTTTACTGACTTCTGAATAAATTAAAAATACTAGAATTCTTTTGCTAATTGGAACAACGAAATAACAGAATTTTGTTTATTCGAAAACAATCTTCTGTCTTCTCTTCGCTTGGGCGTGAACGCGCGAAAAAAATATTTTTCGGTCTCAATCTCTGGGTGACGCGATTGGACAAGGAAGAAAGTACAAACGAAAGGAAGATGACGCACGTTTCACGATTGCATCGCGACGTGCGGCAAAATCATTCGTCCGTGACACTAGACCCGTCGAAGAGGGTCCCTCAGCCGGGCCCCTGGCTCGGTGCATTTGCACGTGCACCGAACCTCCGTCCGAAGCAAACCGGTATACGTTTTTCCGGCTGACGGAAATACGACACTCCTCGACGGCGGTCCCTCGAACTCTCTCTCTCTCTCTCTCTTGTCAGCAGGTATACGAAATGTTAAACGAAGCATTGCTAGAAGTAAAAACCAGCAAAAGTAACACACGCACACCTGTATGTTAAACCACCTCGACGTGACATTATGTCTCGAGAGAAATACAAGATTTCGCGAAAACATGTCCGTCACGAAAATAAGAAAATAGGAAGAAAAAGATAGAAAAATAGAGTTTTTTAAAGATTGTTTCAGAAATAAAAAATTGTAGGTTTGTTATAATTTTCAACAAAACTCGCCGTGACACAAAAGAACTCGTTTCTAAAAGGAAATTACACGACCGCACGTCAATTCGATCGTAATCAAAATGGACGGATTAACAAACAGAAATGGTTGCTCTTTCGCGCGAATTGACGCGGTGTCGATTTTCGTGCGCGTGATAAAGCGACAAGTCTCTTCTCAGCAGCGAGAGATTGCCACCACGTCATGCTCCTCGGAAGACGAAGAGATAGTCCGACTAAACATAAAACGTTTCGAGATCGCGCGATCGGAGAGATAACGCGGAACAGAGACGGCACTGTGTGCGCCCCTTGGCGCAGCATCCGACCGTGGACCGTTCGATGAGATTCCGTTACAAGTGCCGATATAGAAATTTTTGCTAAAGAGCCCGTTAAATAACGAAACTACATAATGCTTATTAAAGAAAGAACAACATTATATTTTCTGCTCTATTATCCGTACAAAATAAATAAATACAATTAGAAATTGTTGCCTCTAACGCGAATCTATGAAAAGAGCATGTATATTTAGGTATAATGAATATTCTATATTTGTTAAGTGTATAATAAATATATATTCTATATATATTTATTTTTACATATTTTTATATATTTGTATTTTATTTTTATATATTTATTAAGTATGATAAATATATAAAAATACTAATATTAGATATAATAAATATATAATAATATTAAAATAAAGAAAGAGACACGAATAATGCGTTGAGACAAAAATTGATGCTTTCGCGGTGTGTTGTATCAACATTCGAAGATGTTTTTCGAGCTTGAACCGCGTTAGTGTCATTTTTATATCGACATTTCGTGAACATTTCAGCTCAGTTCATCAGAGTTTCAAGAGGCAACCTGATAGTAATCAGGTTGTCGGTACGTCATCAGATCACGTCGGTATAAAAATGACACTAACGCGGTTCAAATCCGAAAAACATCTTCGAATGTTGAGACAAAAATTGTTCTCGCTTCTTTTTCTCGAATCAAGTAGAAATTCGAGAAAGCCCATAAAAATTGACAAGAAAAGTTTATCGGAGTGAAAGTTATTCGGAATAAATTATTTGCAGTTTTTTTCCTCTGAGACACTTTCTACGGCAGATATCGAATTCGTAATTAGAATCCGCCAGGGGCATTGAGTCTTAAATAAAAAAAAAAAATAAAAAAAATAAAAAAGCAGTTGTTACGCCTCGAAATTGCGGATCTGTTATATTAATCGTTATTCAGTCAACCATATTAATATTTCAACATCGTATCGCAAAGCTGTTATTAGCGTCCCGTATGACTGAAGCCTCGAAGATACAAGACCGCAGTATTAAATTTCTTGCAGAGCGTGCACACACACACGTATTAATATCGAATTCGATGAGTATTGCCTTTCAGAAATTTCGCGCTGCAATTGTCGCGATAAAAGTGTGTTTGTCGCGTTACACGGAAGGTTCATCCGAGAGAGAAAGAGAGAGAGAGAGAGTATGCGAATATATGTTCGCATACCAAATTGTTGCGCTTATTTAAGCGCGTTATCGTGTATCAACGATCATTAATGCCACGGTTCGAAGCCGAATTTCTGACGGGCTGTATTTTTCCTCTGCATATCTCCGTTCCACATATATTTTTAGCGAGCTAACATTTACTCTCCTTGTGTCGGAACGTGTCGTTATATTTATGAGTTTTTTCATCTACACTTTGACGTCGAGAGTGTTCGCGTTTCACAAAATTACAATCCAATTTAACGATTAAACAAAATGAACAATTTCTTGTTTTAACATTAAAAAAAAAAATGTATATTTCTACACATTTGTTGAAGCGCAATTTTTTTCGGTTTTTGAATAGAAAATAAAATCTACATTTTATTTTCGAGCACATCATATCGAATGTAAACGAGCGTTGGAAAAAGTTTCTCGGTCGACCGATTTCAAGTTCGCTTGTACGTGTAGTACGCTATATATCTCTATCTCAGTCTCGAACAAGACACAAGTTAGATATCCTTATCGCAAGGTGTAAGTCGGTCGATTTATTTAGAAAAAAAAGCTATCGCTGACGTCATTCTGTTCATAAAGGTGTGTTTCTATTGAGAGATAAATCGTCGCGCGAGTCGTCGGCAGCGCGTTACAAATTTATACACGCGGTTGTAATCGCGAGAAAGTCACGACGCGCAAGAGCGAGTTACGGCGATCCGTAAGAAACGCCGAAGAATGTTTTGAGGAATAAAAGAAAAATCGTGCTAGAGAACAAACAAAGTAAATTTTAAATAAAAAAATTTAAAAAAAAAACCAAGAAGAGTGCAAAACGTTCGCGATAATGAAACAAAAACAGAAAGAGAAAAAAAGAGCCCGCCGTGTTATATTTATCGCCGTGTAAATATTTACACCGCACGGTTGCGCGACCACTTGTGCAAACAAAGAAATATTGTAAAAGTCACGTTCAAAACTCGATCGTGCTCGCGACAGAATAGTTTCTTTTCGCAAACTATATGTACGTATCTTTTGTTCTGCATTTCGATCCTTATCGAATATTGTGTGAATGCGCGGTTCTCTCTCGCTTCATTCTCGAAAGTCAGTCTAGGCGCTTGAAAACCCGATAATTGTGTGATATCGTTAATTGCATTTGCTACAAAGATTAGGGCGCGTTATATATTGCACGAAA